GGAAATAGGAGCATATTTCGATGGATTTCATCACCAAGTTGCCGAAGAAAGCAAGGGGTTTTGATGCTATTTGGGTCATCGTGGGTCGGTTGACCAAGAGTTCCTATTTCCTGGCGTTTCAGGAGAGTTCTTCGGATGAGAAGTTAGCTGATGTCTATATTCACGAGATCATTGCTCGCCATGGAGGTTTGGTCTCCATTATTTCTGACTGTGATGTTCGGTTCACCTCCCGGTTTTCGTAGAAGTTCCATGAAGAATTGGGTCCGAGGCTACACTTCAACACAACCTATCATCCGCAGACCGATGGCCAAAGTGAGCAGACGATACAAAATCTTGAGGATATGTTGCGAGCCAGTGTCATTGATTTTGTTGGGAGCTGGGACTCCTACCTGCCTCTTGCAGAGTTCTCCTACACCAACAACTTCTACTCCAGGATTGGTGCTCCACCTTTTGAGGTTTTGTATGGGAGGAGATGTCGTACCCCAGTCTGTTAGGGCGAGGTTGTGCACAGGGTTATGGGGCGGGCCGAGGTGGTCCTTTAGACTACAAAAATGATCCAACAGATCAGGCAGAGATTGCAGATTGCTCAGAGTCGGCAGAAGAGATATGCCGACCGATGCCGATCTGAGTTGGAATTTTAGTTCGGCGACATGGTGTTGCTGAAGGTCTCACCTTGGGAAAGTGTGATTCGCTTCAAGAAGAGGGGGAGTTGGGTCCCCGATATGTTGGGCCATTCCGGGTTATTACCAGGGTTGACAAAGTTGCTTATAGATTGGATCTCCCTGAGGAGCTTAGTCATAGTCATAGCACTTTCCATGTTTCGCAGATGCGAAAGTGTGTATTGGACGAGCATGTAACGGTATCATTAGATGATATTCAGGTTGATGAGTACATGAACTATGTCGAGAGACCGGTATATTCTGGAAAGGAATGTAAAAGTTTTGTGTAGCAAGGAAGTACCTTTGGTAAAGGTACGGTGGCAGCATCGGAGGGGATCTGAGTGGACTTGGGAGTCGAAGGCTGAGATGTGGGAGCATTATCCGGATTTGTTCACCGCAACAAGCTTTGAGGGTAAAGCCTAGTCCAAGTAGGGAGAGTTGTAACATCTCGACTTCCAGGTATGAGGATTATTCTTTTAATTATGTTTTTCCATTGGAACATGGCATGGTGGAAGCCTCACCACCGCGTGTTGAAGGACTTTGGGCCACGTATTTTTATGAACCAACACAACGTGTTGGTGAGGGGAAACTCGACGTGTTAGCGGCTGCATGAGAAACCCTAAATTTTAGGGTTTTTCATCCTATATAAACCCCTTAAGTCCCTAGAGCTGATCTTTTATCAGCCTCCAAACCCCTATATTGACCCTTATGAACCCTAATCACCCTTTCTTCTCATATGTGAGATAGTGTGGTATTATGGAGCAAAAGAAGAAGAAAATTAGAAGAAGGAAGCAAAGATCTAGCAAGTAAAGTTATCATCTTTAGTTTGGCATTCTTCTGGACCTTTGTAAGTGTCCAAGATTCAATTTTTATTCCTCTATATAGCAAGATCTTGAGTTTTGTCCCTTTTTTCTTTATTCTTGGATGTTGTAATGGCTGGATCTCATAAAATTTGCAACTTTATGAATCTCCAGGTCAATGTGAATAGTGGTTTGGATATGGTCTTTAGCCAAGTTTTGATGCCATGCATGGAATTTAGGTCATATTTCCCTCTTTTTTGACTCATTTTGGGTTCAAGACATGCGTTGGACATACATGTCTGTAAAGCATCAACCTTTGGGTTGATTTTGATACTAGAATCTCTTTTGGAAAGCTTACGTTTCAAATCTCAAGGAATTTGTGCTTATTAGTTAAGCCCTTGAATCTTCAAGCTTTGTGGATGGGTTTTTGAACACTTGGAGTAGCCCCAAAGGATAAAGTTGGAAACTTTATCCTTTTTTATAGCATTTGAGTTTAGATCTGAGTCTTGGAGTCCCTAGAATTGTAGGAACAACTTAATGTATTAAGCTCGGGCAAACATGGTGAGTTTGCCAGCCAACACACCATGTTGGCTGGGATTTTCCTGACCATCTGATTACTATAGGAACTCGACATGTATAGTGGTGCACTCGACGAGTTGGGTCAACATGGAATGTTAATCCTGACTGTTGACTTTGACTTTGACCATGGTTGATCAAGTTTGACATTTGAGGGCATTTTGGGTATTTCAGGATTTTGATGGAATTGGTCACATGGTGGTTGTAGGAATTTGAGTCGAGAGCTGAGATTCGGAGTTAGACCTTATCGGTTCTGCACTACTTGAGGTGAGTCTTCCTCATTATACTTTCGGGTTGAAGGCACCAAGGCCAACCCATTGGTTTGATAACATGATACAGTATGCTGAGTATGGAGTAGATATGCATGTTAGTTTTGATATGCTAGTTTGGTAGATCTATAGGACTACATGTGATACTACCTGTTATCTTAATATTATATTATATGTTATATGTCGACATATGGTGTGGGTTGGGTTGAGGCCGTACTACTCCGTGATGTAGCAAACAAACCCTGGAGCATACCAGATATGAGCTGAGGGCCAGGAAGGGCATACCAGACTCGTACTGAGAGCTCATGAGCATTCCATATACGAGCTGAGGGCCAGATAGGGCATGCCAAACTCGTACTGAGGGTCGGGGAGCAAGCCAAACATAAGTTGTGGACCTAAGGGGAAAGCCAGACTTATGTTGTGGGATCAGGGGTAATCCAGTCTGTTCGTTGTGGACTCATTGCATGTTGTTGTTATATATTGTGTTGTTTGCTATGTATTGGTATTTTGGGGGAACTCACTAAGCTTTGAGCTTACAATTTTGGATTTGTTTCAGGTACTTCAGAGGATCGTGGAAAGCCGAATGTTTAATCGTGCACCTCCTCATGTTTTATTTCACAAGTTTTAGATTTCTTTGATGTTGAACTTATTTTGAAAACAATTTGTAAACAATGATGGTTTTTGAGTAAATTTTAAAAGTTTAAAATTTTTGAGAATTTTATGAATGTTATACCCTACCTGTGCCTCCATCCTCTCTTCGTTGGGGACTAGCTCCTCCAGCTCCGCCTTCGTTCGTCACTGACGACTAGCTCTTCTGCCTCCATTTTCTCTTCACGATTACCCTTTCTTTGCGACCAAGATTTCTATATAATGGGTATTTAGTTGTAATATTCTAATTAATACCTCTTTTGAGAGTGGTTGAAGTTAAAAAGGAAGTTGGAGATAAAGGAGAATACGATGATGTTTGTAACAAAGAAGTTCGGCCAAGATTTTAGTCACTTATGGTGACTCATCAATCCAGTGAACCCACACATTTACCTTCTAATAATGAATTAATTAAGAAAGAAGATCAAATGCATAGGTACAGTTTAATTCCATATTCTTACACTTGTAATGGTTATTATTGTATGATATCGATCTTGTTTATCTTTTATTAATCATTTATAGGGTTTGTGTTAACTGAGTAATTGCTTAAAGAAAGATATGAAAGTTGTTACTCCTTAAGAATTGATGGAAAAATTGAATACACTGTTATACATTTGCTTGGAGAAATATATGAAATTTGTTTCTCCTTTATTCACTCCTTAAAAGATTGGTTAAACAAAACATGTTCTTGATTTGCATTCGATGGTATTAAGATTGTTTGAAAAATTGCATTTGAATTCATTCTAGATTGTAAAGCACACTTTTTTTATACATGGTCAACCATGTATAAAAATAATGGTGGTGGTTATTTTATTGATTTGGTCTCTTATATTTAAAAAATGACAAAAAAATGTAATAATACATAAGCTAATTAGACATATAGTAAAAAGTAACATTCAGGCTTTAGATTTAACAATGTGGGGACCATGGGTGATGGGTGTTACCAAATCCTTCCACAGGGACTGGCCACGACAAAAAACCAATACTAGGACCAAAAGTGAGATTTTGGTCAACCCATAGGGACCTAAACTGTACTTTACTCTAAGTTTAAAATCAAATGGACAGGTAATTATTTTTTAAAAACATTATGATTTGGTAAAAAAAAAAAAAAAAAACTCGTTATTGCGTGCAACATTAACAATGACCAAATTACTTAAAATAGTTAGAAACGAATGACTTCACCGTTACAAAGTTTAACGGCAATCAGCTTTTTGATAAGCTCGGCGATTCGCTGAATGCGACCAAAATGGCGGTTTTCTGATAGCGACCAGATAACGAATCCTACTTTATTGTGGCCATGTTTTTGGAAGATCAAATATCATTTCTTTCCTCTAATATCAGCATATTCTCTGTCTATAATTCCTTCTAGATGCGTAGAATTCAAGATGACATTACCTATCAGGTTCGACGAATAAGTTTACGACATATTAGGGTTCGAGAATGACACATCTTAAATTGGATTTCTCATTTTTAAAATGGAAATGATGAATCTTATCGCGAGAAAGTTTTTTAATTTATTTAAAGCTGATTCGGAATGAATCAGGGAGATTAAAGCCTACCCATGTTAATGCCTTCCAAGTATTCGACGAAATTCCAGAGGCTCAAAAGAATCGAATTTGAAGGCCGTACGCTAAACAGAGTATGCTGCTCTTGGCTTTTCAAAATTTAATTTGTTGAATTCAATTGTTAAACCTCAGTTCCCATGCTTATATGATGATTTTCTTCTCTTTATCTTTGTTATTGTTCTTCCTGCTCATATGATTTAGTGCTCCTTTTTAACATCTGTGAATTCATGATCTTCTATCTTGTTAAACTTTACATGATCTTCATCAACACATTACATGACCATACTTCCAAAAATTTCTATTTGCTCATTAAAAAAAGGGCATGAAACGGATTTGAAAGTTATTCCTAAATGAACTAAATGCAAAAACTAGCAAAATACTTTCCAAAATTTCCAATTACAGCATATTACTTTCACTTCTTGTGCCATTTTTACATATGACTTACCCTATGGTGTAGAAAAATGGCAACTCCAGTTGAACCACCAAATGGGATTAAATCAGAAGGGAAGCATTACTTTTCTATATGCCAAGCATTATTTGAATTGGATACAAAGTATGTTCCCATCAAACCTATTGGTCGAGGTGCATATGGTATTGTTTGTTCTTCTTTTAATAAGGAAACAAATGAAAAAGTTGCAATAAAAAAGATCCACAACACCTTTGACAACCATACAGATGCTTTGAGAACTTTACGTGAACTCAAACTTCTTCGACATCTTAGACATGAAAACGTTATTGCTTTGAAAGATGTAATGGTGCCTATGCACAAGACAAGTTTCAAAGATGTTTATCTTGTTTATGAGCTTATGGATACTGATTTGCATCAGATTATTAAGTCATCTCAATCACTTTCAAACGATCACTCCCAGTATTTCCTCTTTCAGGTATGCAGCTATGCTAACCATTTCCTTACACATAAGGATAAAATAGTCATTTACTCCTCTTCCACACCGGATAAATTTCAAAGTACAATTATTAAATACGAAAAAAACGAAGCAAAATTTCAATAATAAACAAACCAATAAAAATACACTGCTATTTCATAGAGTTAACATACAGAAAGAACGACTTAATAAAGACAGTCCAACAACCTTTTCCATTTCCCAAAATCTTTCTTGATTTTCTCAAATACTTTATCCAGACTGACAACACTTTATCCTGAGTCTCACAACAGTCTGCAAATCTTTCCCTAGTTACTACGAGGCTTAAAGTATCTCCATTCCGCCAACATCCTCCACCGCGACCTAAAACCCGGAAACCTTTTAATCAACGCGAATTGCGACCTAAAAATATGCGATTTTGGGCTGGCCCGCACAAACAACAATAAAGACCGATTCATGACCGAATACGTCGTCACGCGGTGGTACCGGGCCCCAGAGCTTCTCCTCTGTTGCGAAAACTACGGAAACTCAATCGATATCTGGTCGGTCGGGTGTATTTTTGCTGAACTTTTGGGAAGAAACCCGTTGTTTCCGGGATCCGAATGTTTAAACCAATTGAAATTGATTATTAACATTCTTGGAAGCCAAATGGAGGAAGAAATTGCATTCATTGATAATCAAAAAGCAAGAAAGTTTATACAGTCGCTTCCGTTTTCACCTAGGGTTTCGTTTTCTCAGCTTTACTCTGAGGCTGAACCGATGGCGATTGATTTGTTGGAAAAGATGTTGGTGTTTGATCCGTTGAAGAGGATTAGTGTTGATGAAGCGCTTAATCATCCTTATATGTCGTCGCTTTGTAGTCCGGGTATGGATCCTCCGGTTGAAGGTGCGGTGGATGTGAATATTGATGAGGAGTTGGGGGATGAAGTGATTAGGGAGATGATTTGGAAGGAGATGCTTCATTATCATCCTGAAGTTGTTTCTGTTTCCGTTGCCAATCCGTAGCCAACCTAATTCCGGTTCCGATTCCGGTTCTGATTATGATTCCGACGTTGACTTTTGAAAGGTTTGTTTTTGAATTCTGATTTTGCGGTTATTTTTGGTCTTTTTTCGAATAAGCATGGAGTGTATATATTACAGTACGGTTTGTTCTTGAACTTTAGTTGTAGAGTGGTTGGGGGAGATTGCAATTATGTATGGCTTTTTATTCTTTTTCTGAAATAATTTAAGCAGACTGATTTAATATGTTAAGCGAAAAAAATGGCTTGATATATCAAGACACTAAACCTAAACATGATTTTTTCCCTTCCAATTTCTCTAATATTTAAAATTGATGAATGTTGTGAAATTTGTTTATTGGAATATAAGGGTAAAGTTTTCATTTGATTAAATTATGACAATTTATTTGGTTGAGAAAACATACATGATATATAACACATTGGAATTACTAAATAAATATAAAGTATTGGCTACTTGATAATGTATTTTAGTAATTTATTAAACGTGATCAAAAGTGGAATTTTTACTTATAATTTTTAGTTTACTATGAAAAAGCTAAATGACTAGCAAATCATTTTAAAAATTTGTGAAATATTATCACTTTAATATGAAAAAGATAATACATGAATTTTTTATTTTCACCAAACCTCAAATCTGACCACGTAAGAAGCTTCCTAATGGTAATACCAGGTTCTAAGTTCTAGAAAGTATAAACCCTATGAAATGGTAATATGTTTTATTTTTTTATAAGTTATATTTTTTATATTAGGTACAATAGTTTTCTAAGTGAAAATTCATTATGATGTTATTTTGTTCTAAAACATTGACAAAAAAAAATTATTTCATTTAAGCTATTATTTACGTAGTAAAATTGATTAGCATGCTATAAATACTAACAATAATTTCCGAAAAATATAAGGTATATCACATTGAAATATTAAAAATAAGGACTTTTCACCCTAAAAAAAATGAAACAAATCATTTAATGGTTTATTAGATAAAAAACAATAGAGCTTTATTTTTTCCTGAGATTTGCTCATGAAGTTACTCATTAAATTGTCACAAAATGATGTTATATTTTGTCGTATTTTTCATTAAGTAATGTTTCAACAGTTAAATAGGTAAATATTTTAACAATATCATATAATACGTTTTTTTTATTGCAAACTAGACGAATATCCACGTGTTGCGCAAAATAAAATTAAAACTTTTGATAATCTTATGTTATTGAAAATATTTATATCATTTAAATTAACTATAAAATAATAATTTTTTCATTTAGTTTATATGAAATTATAATTAATTTGAAATAAGATAAAATAATGCTTATTAAAATCAAATCATTTAATAGTCTCTACTCATGTTTTACGTGTGTATAACATTAGTTATATTTGTCAACTATTTTAATTTACTATTGTTATGATTTACTAATTTAAAAAACAAAAATTAACGGTGTTTTAATTTCATAATGATGATTATTTAAATTATCTAAATTATCAACAACTGTTTGTAATCTAACATAATTTAATTTCTAAGTTTTTATTATTTTTAACTATTATTATTATAAATTAATTTAAAAACAACTTAATTGAATTTTAATTATTATAAAATATAGTTTCCAGATACCTTTTAGTTAATTCGATTCATCGATTTAGATTCTTTTATATTTATTATATTTAATGTTTTCCTTTTAACTATGTTATATATATATATATATATATATATATATATATATATATATATATATATATATATATATATATATATATATATATATATATATTGAATTTTTTTAAATATTACTTAATATTTTAGTTTAGGTTTTAAAATTTACATTAAATTTTTAAGTTTATTTGATATATTAATGTAGGTTATCTATTTAACAATATATTGAAGTTAACAAATTAAGTATATCATATTGATAAATCACAAAGACTTCTAAATATGATAATGTTTACGGCTACAAACATATTTAAGTTAATAAATTAAGTCTATTAAATGGAAAATGAAGAGTTGAGAGTTTCAAATTAATGTGGTGAAAGAAAAAATGTTTCTTTTATAATATAGTATGATATGATGATTATGTTTGATAAGACCATAATTTTTTTTATAATACCTTATAAGCTAGTTTGATAATTTATTTAAAATAACTTATTAATAAACTAGTTTATAAATTAAAAGTTAGTTTTCCGACTAGCACACCAAACAAACCTAAAAACACTCAAAGACGACTAACTTATTTATGCTAAAACTAAAACCCTAATGACTCCTAATTAGGATATGAATAATTTATCTAAGAGATAATATAGTTTTTAGAGATTTTTATCAAGTTTAGTGTAACGCCCGTAGATCTGAGCTAGTCAATTTAGAGGCAATAGGGGTCAAAAATGACTTTTCAACAAACGATTATTTAGAATAAATAATCTGAACCAAGTTGTAGTATATGTCACAAGGTTTCTGTACATATAAAGAATGCCAAAATCCGAGTTATAACGAAGAAGTTATGACATGTTGAAGTTTCGCGACGGAACCGACACGATACCGGGAAGCGTAAGTAGTGAATTTACGATAGAGCGAGATTTAGACTTAGCAATCTAAATAAAAGTCGTAGAATATGTTAAACTAAGAACATCGATAAAAAGAACGCCCAAATCTGACTTAGTATGAAGAAGTTATGATTTTTTGAAGTTTCGGATTAGCAATGTACAGCCCGAAATTCGAATATTAGATTGAGTGATTTTTAGCCGACACGGCCTAAACGAGAGTCGAAGATCTCGATAAGAATAGCGTAACGAGAAAAAGATGGGCGAAAACGGACATCGGATGAAGAAGTTATGAAGATTTAACGGACCAATCCTGTCCCGGCCTGTTAATAATATAAAATTTAAAATCGTGTCAAAATTTGCCGACGGAGTCTAAACGAAAGTTGTAGAGTACGTTCCCACCTTCACGTGGATATAAATAATGTCAAAAACAGAGCTCGTACGCGAAAGTTACGAATTTTTAAAGTTTGTACTCGATTTTGCGAGATCTGATACGAAGTCGCTGACGTGGCGCTTTCCCAGCCGTCCGATGATAATCCCTGAAGCAGCCTCGGATCGTGACACGTAGCCCCCTCGCTACGCCTAGCATCCAGTCTCGTACGCGCCACGTTCGCATAGCCATGCTCGATCCAAGAGAAGCCACGTCGCACCCTCGAGCCTTCGCCACCTGGTCATCTTATCCTAAGTTATGCCCCACGTAACTTTCTGAACGCCCCGCGTAGTGCGAAACCTCACACCTATAAAAGGGGTGCGAGGGCAGCCGGTTTTCACACCAAAATCTTCTTCTCTCTCTAAAATACTTTCTCTCTCTAGCTCCCCAACCACCCCTAAGCCCTAGTTAAACCCCTTAGCTCCCGACGGAAGCCCCGAGGCTCCCGGGGTCCCAAGAAAAAGGGTCTTTCGGTTTCGAAACGCTGCTCCAAATAAAGTTCCGATTTTCGATAAAATTCACTGTAAGTGAGCTACGCTTACGCAATTTTTAATATAGCTTTCGAATAATTATAGGAATGTTATTAGGTCCTTAAAAATAATTATTTGGGATATTATTATGAGTTATATTGAGTGTTATTAACGCTTATATAATAATAATAATCAGACTAATTAATTTTTCCCGGTTATCGTTAGACTAAACCCTAGTGGTATTGCTACTAGGTGTTATCGAACGAAATTGTTTTGAGAGTATCGAAGCGCTGTCCGAGTGCTGAATCACCACCTCTCAAGTGAGTGCATAGTTACTTTCATCTTACACATAGATATGAAGTATTTTATATGAATTACGTGTTATGTGTGCATATTATCCGAGTACTTGTTGTCTATACTAAATGAACGATTTTATACATGTTTTAAATGATTTAAACTGTATATGTATTTTACATCTACGATAATGTTGGGGTAAACATGGGTAGATATAATAGATGGAATATGAGTTTAATGATGAGTTGAGAGGTGTTATTGACCACGAGGTGAGGGTGAGAGGTGGATGATTTGAGAAGCCTTTTTCCCAAATGATGGCCCCGTCATTCAGCAGAGTATGGATGACAACCACAGACTATTCTAGACAGTCCAGTGGAACACTAGCAGGCTCGCAACCTGTAGGTGTTGTGAACGATGTGTTCACCCGGTGTACTCTAAACCCTAGTGATCATGCAGACTTGATGCCTAAACCCTGGTGATCATGCAGACTTGATGCCTAAACCCTGGTGATCATGCAGACTTGATGCCTAAACCTTGGTGATCATGCAGACTTAATGCCTAAACCCCGGCGACTATGCAGACTTAGTGCCCGTTGTGTAAACCGTGGCAACGATGGACTTTGTGTTGATTCCTTAGGATGATCCTTAGGAATGAATGAACATGGAATAGCTGATTCTTAGAGTAGATCCTTAAGATTAAAGAAGATAATGAGGATGGGTAATTGGGTTGATTGTTTGATTGTTTAAACATAATAATTATATTATTGTGGGTTGAAACCCTATGTACTCACCAGGTTTCTCAACGTGACCCACTCAGTTTATTTATATCACAGGTGTTGATACGAGGTCACTTTACACTGAGAGATTTAAAGAGATGTAGATCACTAGTGTAAATAAATGTACTCACCAGGTTTCCCAACGTGACCCACTCTAGTGTTTCTAACCCCCCTAAGCCCTAGATAAAACCCCTAGCCCCCGAGGGAAGCCCCGAGGCTTCCAGAGTCCCGAGAAAAAGGGTCTTTCGGTTTTGAAACGCTGCTCCAAATAATGTTTCGGTTTTCAATAAAATTCACTGTAAGTGTGCTACGGTTACACAATTTTTAATATAGCTTTCAAATAATTATAGGAATGTTATTAGGTCCTTAAAATAATTATTTGGGCTATTATTATGAGTTATATTGAGTGTTATTAACGCTTATATAATAATAATAGTCAGACTAATTAATTTGTCGCGGTTATCGTTAGACTAAACCCTAGTGGTATTGGTACT